AGAATTTTATATACCAGAATATATTCATATACGTAAATGTACATCTACATACAGTGTATATGCATACACACATAAATGCATACATACACTCATGTACGCACATACAGTATATACACAGCCCCAAACATCGCCATATGCATAAGAAAAAAAAAACATTACAATAAAAACCAATACAATAAATTATGAACTCATATGAACTCTCTGTGGGTGTTGAATATGTAAAATGTGTCTTTTAATCAAACGTTTATTTCAGACTTAACTATGCACAAACAGTCATTTTACGCAAAGAAAATAGAAACAAAAAGATAAAGAAAACAACCTGCATTAAATGTAAAAAGTGCACACAAGAACACAAAATATTTAATTCCCCTTTTTACAATTATTGTTTTTTTTAACTAATTATTATTACAACCACTAATAGAAATRTTAGACACATTTACATTATTTAAATACTATTTCTTAATACAGGCAATCATATTTTTTCATTGCTGTAAAATTCATAAAATATAATTTCTTTATACTTTCTTTTAAATCGTTAAGTTGGGGTCTATATAAAATGGAACTGCAATGCTTTGGTCTGAATTCTTACTCATTGTAACTCCACAAGCCCCTCTTTCACCCCTTTTCTGGGGAAGACAGAACTCGCTGCAGGGATTTTGTGTTTTCTCTGGCCTGAGACCAGCAGGAAAGTTTCTCTCCTAGAACTGTTGCCTCAGAGACCTGACTATAGATAGGTGGCAGGAGATGGAGATGGAGATTTTTAGTTTTGTAATGTCACCCTTCGATGAACTCAAAGTGGCCCATGGGCCACCAGTTGATAATCACAGTGTTAGCACTTTTTTTTTCCATTTGCATAGCCTGGATGAAGACTTTTGCCTCTGATGTCATGGCTGATGAGRCTCTAATTATTAAGAATAATTAAACAGAACATTGCATCAAATTTGGCCAGATTATCCCTTTAGTGGTTGAGCTTTTTTTCTTGTTTGTCAACTGAGTGACAGCTGGCAAAATGTTTGTGTGTGTGTGTGTGTGTGTGTGTCAGATATCTCTGGCCGCGGCTGAAAGCAAACATCGCCTAACCTTCACCTGCTCCTGTCACAGCTGGTTGCTTCCCACCGTTTGAGAACTTCAGTCTGTTTTTCCAGAYCTCAGCGAGTTCACAGGACATAAAAAAAGCATCGAAGCTGTGTTAATCAGTTTAACCCGTTTAATCCAGTTGAGTCCATTTTATTCTGTGTGTGTGGTCAAAGTCGGATTACAGTGTTTGAGTCTTTTCCAGCAACAAGTGTTCAGAAGTGTTTCTAGAATATTTCAATGGATTGAGRYTTTAAGTGGTGAAAACTTATTTTTGTTATATTTTAATCTGTTGAGTCGATTATTCATCYGATCATTTGATCTAATCTGCTCTAATAATACAAATGATCATCTCTGGGTGAAAATGATTTCATTTGATTTATTTAACAGGAAAAGATTATTAAAAATCAAGCCTGACTCAGCATAATTGTTGTTTTACAGCAGGTTCCTGTTCTGCAGCACATAAAACACTCAGAATTACAGCATCACAATCACATCATTATACACCATAGACACAAAGACAATCAAACATACCAAATTTCAAAAAGGCAGCATTTGCAAAATAGGATGTCTAAATATGAGCACAACAAAAAGTGCCCAGCAGACGGCAGACAAGATTCTTCTTAAAGGGCTGTAGTTTTRAAATGGACTTTATGTTTTGAGGAATGTCATTCCATGCTTTAGTATAAACATAGAAGAAAGACCTCTGGCCGTAACAGTTTTTGGATAGCACGGATGAGTCTTGATTATGTTCCATCAGTCTTCCTTACGTCTAACCTGTTTCTGTAACACTTTATAATAACTACACTTCTTTTAGTCAARACAAAACTTTTGATCATAAGAGGTCATAGGTCACCTTCTGAAGGATGCCAAAAATCTATAAATTAAAACATTTATCAATGTTTTACTGAAGCTAATGACTTCTAAAACCAACACACTCATTGTTTATCCATGCTTAATAACTCATGATTTTACACTATGTGTTAGACACGCATTACTGGTTAGAGAATGTTTAAAGTTAAATAAGGTGTAGTTAGTGTAAGGGTTTAGCTTACACTTGTTAAAACAAGGTTATAAGTGTAATTTAATTAGCAAGGGATCACTTTTTATTTTGGGTAAACATTCCTTTAGTGCAAAAATGAATGGACACAAAAAGTATCTCTGTCAGTGAATGTTGATTTGAACCATAATATGCGATCATTTATTTTACAAATCAWACAAAATTGACTAGAGTACACTTGATTGTGAACAATTAATTTCCTATAAAAGTTTTGGGACCAACAATAACAAGCTTTTAACTTCTTAATTGTTAAGCACACTTAAACAGAAACACAAATGTCAGTTTAGATGTTAAACACCAGACATTTGAGGCAAGTTATCTTAGGGTTGGCAAAGAAGAGTTTAAGAAAAGGAGGAAGAAAGGTATTAGCTTTCTTATACTTTATCTTAAATAATGTGGGTTTTAAGCAGAAGGGAGAGGCGTTCTGTGCTCAGCGACGTCACACACAGTCAGCTTTTACCTTGAGATGATGTTCTGTCACCTGCCAGGTAGGTTGGGGGCTTCTGCTGAGAGGATCCGCTTAGGAGAGTCCACTAGAGTGACACAGGGGTGCAGGTCTACTCGCTTTACCACGTCAGCCGTAAAAAGAAGGCAAAGCCTCGACTGGAACCCAGGTTTGAAATRAAACTTGCGTCTGGAGAGTTTCTGAAGTGGATAAACCAGGCGCTGGTTTCCCACACTGTGAGGTTTCCCCGTTGGCGATGAAGGGGCCAAAACAGTTTTCAGCCTAGCTGTCACAGTGACTGACGGTGGTCCGTCACCTTACTTTCTTTCTGCTGGACATGCAGAAACTGTTAGTTTCTAAAGCTTAGAGTTTCTAAAATCCGCCCTCCGGAGGGTTAGATTAGAAAAGAAGTTATCAAGGAAAGTGTTAGTTTCAGAACTCGCTGTGCCTCCTGAAACTAAAAC